GCGTTGGGTAACCAGTATCACCCAGCAAATGTGTTCAAAATTCTAGACTTACCTTTCACTGGTGTTGAGCCACCCTGTAAGAACAAAACAAATTTTGTCATGCTCAAAACTCCTTTGAGTCAGTGTACGTTAAGGTTCTGAAAAGAGCACGTTGTACTGTTTTTATCGACAAACGCAAAAGAAAGAACCGCCTTACTCGCCTTGTACAGCATAATTAAACGATATAGAAAGTTATGCTTTTCAAAACCGGACAGCTTTCAGGGGCACCCAACGATTGTTTTCTGTAAAATATCTGTTCGGAGACGGAAAAATTGCCTAGAATTTTCTATAGCTTGGGGAAGGCTAAAAATTTCTAGATGACATGCAGTTCCATTCATGTACAATTTTCGTAACATGTCTAATAAATTCCCTACGATTTTCTGAAGTAAAATTTTTCGCATTTCAGTACCCAGGTTAGCCTTTTTTCGTAGAAAAAGGAAGCCTAAAATTTCGGATTCAAACAGACGATGGAACTGGAGGAATTAGAAAAATTCTCACTTTCGTAAAACTTGAAATTGCATCTAAAATTTTCGGGAAAATAATAGGGAGGCCCTTGTAATTTCGAAAAGACTCAAGTTGCCCTAGGACGACCGAACAGATACAAATTTTATAGCGCCGCTTAGAATGCATTTCTAGAGAATTGAAAGTACTCTGGTTAAGCTAAAAAGTGTTTTCAATGCATTTAGGAGGAAACCGTCGTTGGCTGTCCCTGAGCTTTCATCTTTATAGTCACGCACACGCTTTAATTAGAATTTAGGATTTTACTCAATTACACAAAATCTTGAACCATCTTGTAGAGCAAAGTAAGTCGCCTGTAAAGTTTCTATAATGGAGATATGGGAGAAAAGTGGACAAGAAATAGACTAAGAAATTGCATTTAAACAAGTAAAACTCACTGGAGGAATGTTATCCACAAAGTAGAGTATACAGATCAACAGAACAAAAGCTACAATGCGTTGCATTTTAGAATCCTCCAGGGACAGCGATCAGTTAAACTTGTTAAGTCTGACAAGGCTGAAAAAGAAAGCAAAAGATGGGGAATTGTAAAATAACTGTTCCTTTTTTAATTCAAAGGTGAAGCGAAGGTGAAGCCGCCAAAAGCGAAGTCCCAAAGATTTTCTTGTTCGCTCGATTGTGACTACTCGGGCAGAAATGACTCGAATCTCTAACCCACTATGACAAATTAAAGGAAACAGCTTATAGGGTGGGTCAATGCTCTTCTCCGATGTCTAAACCCCGGGAACTTGATCCGCAATACCCAGTATACTCTAGTCATACTACGCCCTTGTCTGACTGACTTGTGAACAACTTAGAGCATCATTACTTCATACATCATCGCTAGAGACGATTAAAAATAATCTTCTCTGCATACCGTATATCAACTCAAAACAAATTTGGCGTGATATGAATTATGATGTATAATAGTTTGCTCATTTTCCTTGAGACGTGCAACGAATTATAATTGACCGGGAAAAACAAATATTTCTGTTAAGTGTTGCTGAACTTAAACAAATATCAGATCACAGCTTTTATATCAGCAAGTATGCAGCTTCAGCTTTTCCGTTCATATCTCTTTTCCGCATTGATCGAAAAAATCGCCATCTCGTTTTTCCTACTCGAGTCGCCGATATAAATGCGTGGTGATAATAAATTAAAAGCTTTTTCATAAAAGTTCATGTTTTAGAACATCGAAAAAAGAGTTGTTTCTGATGAAGCAAAGTGTCTCTCAATTGGAGTTCAAGTTGTCTCCTTTAATTGCCTGGAAGAACTTAACGATATTCAGTAAAAGCAGAAGCAGAAACAGAAGCAGAAGCAAAAGCAGTTCAGTTGAAACTTTACTTAGAGCTTCAGTGAGATGAAACGTTGGCAAATATCGTTTAAGCAAATACAGTCAGCTGGGATTCGATTGCTGTCCTGTCTGATTGATTTCAGTGTGTAGTACAGAAACATTGTTTTTCACTCTTCTTACAATTTTTTTTTCAATATTTAGGAGAATCCTTTCATGAGCAAAACGAAACAAGGCTTTCATAGGATTGTGCATAACACAAATTCAGTACAGTACTCTAATCTTCTTAACCGTGCCAATCTACCTAGCTTACAAAATAGGCGTTTACAAGATCTTGCTGCCTTAATGTATAAAGTTAAATATGGTTTGGTACCTAGTAATGTCGTTGAGATTTTTAGTGTTGAGTCATCCATTTATCACTTAAGAAATATGGATTTTCATTTACTCAGATTTAACAGTGTACTTTACGGGAAGCATTCTATAAGGTACTTTGGACCACATACAGGGTCTAGATTGGACACCAAAATCAAGGACAAATCTACCTTACAATCCTTTTCGTCCAGCATACGGCGTATTAACCTTGTGGATCTTAAAAGTGACCATTAGGGCTCCTGTCTTACTTGTAGTTCTTGGGTTTTTGGGAATTTTTAGAAACATTTTTAGCATTTTTCTTTATATTTTAGTAGGGATAACTTTACTAAACTTAAATTTACCTAATGATACCATGTATAAACTCATTTTGTAATTTTTTTCCTATTATTTTAGTGCCCCCAATTAGCTTTCATAAGCTAAAGACATCGACACTTCAATAAGGTTGTTATGTTATGTTATGTTCATATATATGGGTTTTGATGATTTTGTAGGCTGCTGTCGACCCAGCAGAATGCAGGATTAACTCTTTATATCCTCCTGATAGGAAACAAAGTGGAAATTCCAGAAAAGAAGCGAAATTCATTTAGTAAAAGCTCCTTTTTCTAAAAATATTCAAAATCAAAGAGAACAAAAGAAAAAAAACGTGGTTGTTCTAGGTAGGAATTTCTGACCCCCAAGTAAAGAAACTGTAACAACTAAAACTTACCTTTAGTAATCAAATGTTAACTGAGCGACTTCAACTCAACCTTCAATCTGCGATTAATCTGATAGGTAAATGTCCCTCAAAGGAACTAATATTTATACTTGTAAAAGAGAACTGGAATGACGCAGTTTCCTTGTTCTTGTTTTTTTTAATGGCTAGGTGCGATGACACTGCAGATTATCAGTGGCTCAATATGAAGCATGTGCGATTGACAAGGGCGACAACACTTTAGTCAGTAACATGCAGTATCGCTCTATATCGTCAAAGGACTTTTATATTTCAATTTCATAACGATTTGTCCCCACAAAGGCAAAATCAATTAGTTTATTGTTTAGTTAAGTAAACTGATACAATGTTTTCCTCAACCGAAGTGAAAGATTTCGCTACTCTTTTATATATTTCAACTAGCTGCTCTTTTCGTTTTTCAAAACCTAGTTTAATTAAACATGTTTAGTTGGTTTGAAGGAGGCATTATAAAAATCCGGTATGGTAAAAATCCGTTAAAAATGGGCAATTATACCATTTTTTAGATGTTCGAAAATCCTAGGAGAGGCAGGTAAGCAAGAAATTTTACAACAAATGTCCCGAAAATTCTAGACCTGAAATCGTCTTCCGAACAGATATTTTCCCGAAAATTGACGTTGGGTGCCCCTGTCTTAAACGATAATCCGAGGAAACTTGGCCCATTTAGTAGGCCCTTGTACCCGTTGTAAGCAACCTCCAGTGTGTTGGCTTTAAAACATGGTCAATCAACTGATAACGGTTGTAGATGATCTCACTGGCCTGTTAACGCAAAAAAAAAGGAATTGGTTGTGGAGGCTTGAAAATTAGACCGAACAGATTGGTCGATTTTGTTTCGAACCCGTGCACGGCTGAATTTTGATTGACAGAAACAATCTGCCTTTTCTTATCTGTTCTTGAACTTTGCGGAAATAACTATAATAATCAAGGCTTCTATATCAAGAAAATGGTAACTTTTTCTTGTTACCTTATTCTGCTGTCCCAGTCGAAAAACTTCTATGGACGACTCCTAGGAAATTTGATGATGTATCAAATACTTACTTCGTATTAAAGAAGTGTCACTCTATTGATTTTAAGTTGTCTCTTTAATTCTATGGTAAAAATTAGCGACATTGATTTAAAAAGGAATAACTTTTTAACAATTCAAAACTTTTTAAATACAGCTTGAGTTAAAACGTTCGTGTATATCGTTTACACAAATACAGCTGGGATTCAAATTGAAAAACTATGATAAACGATAATTAACGGTCTTTTCCGCACAGAGAAACTCTTGTTTTGTTTTTCATTTTTCCGATTTTTTTTGGCGGAAAAGATTCCATACTTTTGGCCAAGCAGGATCGGTTTTACTAATCAAGGATGAATGAATAAGATAAATACTCTAATACCTAAGAAAACGCTTTCGGTTAAAAGATAATTTTTCAGTTGCCTAATTCACCAGTCAGTGTGCGCCCCAACCCCCACCCCCTCCTCTTTGTGATCTCTGTAATCCTCAAACACTAAGTCCGTGTTCCATTCCTTCACTAATCTAATGGACCCCAGAATAGTCAGCGGCTGTCATCAGTGGAGTTTGTGCCGGTTACTATGGCGACGACGGTACTGTGCGGGAAAGACTGCTCAGAAGCAAACAGCAAAGTGACCTCATAAACAGCCAGAGTTTACTTTAATATTTTATGATACGAGGTTAAAGGTAAGATTGAATAATTAGGTATAAAAAAGACAATGAATGAGAGTTTCTACGAACGTTATTTACTGTGTTTTTGCTTCACGTTTCAAAGGAAGTAAATGATCAACTCTATCGAGTTGGATGATATTTTTGAGGGTATGATGTACGTAAATCCAGGATATAAGCTTAGGTATTGTCTTGAAATGTACTCAGTTCGTGCATTTATGTGCTTTGATCGTCATATAGTTTAATGTTACCACACCATAAATAATCTCCCGAATAGATGCAAAACAACCAGCTGAGGTTGTTTCTGATTAATATTAAATCACAATGCAATGAAGTCCCTTGATCTACATTGTGTAATTAAACTCGTTTTTCGATGTGCAGTGATTTGTCTGTTTGTTGTTTCTTCAGGCATGGGAGCAACAATCTCCAGCCACACTCATGGAACATCTGTCAGTGAATATGGCAAAGGAAAATTGGAGTTCACACCTCAGAATGAAGCATTACTAAATGAAATAGTAAAACATGTGGAGGGGCTTGTCAGTTCACACCCCAGGGAGGCAGAGACGATTCTCAAGGAACCCTTCAAGTGGCACAGCACTCTTAATCCTGACAGTTTTGGGGAACTCAACTTTGGTTCAATGGGATTTCAGATAACGTAATTATGCTTTAAACTTGATAATAAAGTAACTCTGTAGCTGTTAAAGATGGACAATGTTGGGACTAGTGCTAAATTTTTCTGTCTTTAGTTTAATGGAGTCAGTCTGCCTTAACTATATTGATTTACCTTGTACCACCTTGTCACATGCTATGTGCTTGGGGTACATATTGTATGAGATAAACCAATCGTACAACTTGCCATGCTTGCAAATCAAACATATCACTGAAATGTGCAAGTCAGTGGTAAGTTTGATTTGCGAGCATGATTAATGTCATAGACTCATTGTAAGCACATCCCATGATGAGACAGTGTTGCACCATGTAAATCAGCTTTTATATACAGTATGACCAGATAACTGTAGGGACTGTCTCTAGCTTTCCTGTGTCCATGAAAAATGTCCAGCTTGTAGAAGTGTCCATTAGGAGACAGTTGATTGTTTGCTTTTGTTAAACCGCTTGAATAGCCATAATTTAAAACTTATTTAGTCTATATGTCAAGGACAAACTGAGGGAAATATTATATAATTGTTAGCTCATGGGTTAGGCAAGTAAGGGAAGTTGCCAACATGTAGTAGCTCACGTAGACACTCATTTAGACACTCCATGTAAATGTATCTATGGTAACTAACCCACAGTATACATGTACATAGAAATGTATCCAAGAATTCATGTGTTTCTTTTTTTACACATTTAAAGTCATAGTGATGTGAAATCTGAGGCAAAAACACCAGGTGGAGAGCATTTATTGTCTATGGACAAGGTAAATAAGGTCATAATATTTTGTCATCCCTTATTGATGGTGTTTTGTTTTTATAAAAGATAATAGTGAGGGAACATAGGATCCAAACCTTCCACATCCTGTACCTTGCATTTCCGGGTCTGCCCCCTTTATCTCAGCTTCCTCTCTTTAGCCCTTTTCCAACTACAAAATGTTAAGGGCTATTACCTATAAATATCCACCTTTTTCCACTGCCTAACCTTTTAGAACTCCTATCTCCCTCCCTTTCCTCTCTTTAATACCTCCCACACCCCTCCCCCAGCTCTCTCAGGCTTCCGACTATCCTCCCCTACATGATGTTATGACACCATATCCTTGCAGTTCAACAGCTCAGTTGTAGTACTAGCTAACTCTCGGACTATACATCTCCAGATTGAAGTGAGCATCACTTCCTTGCTTGTTTTAGAGCTCACTTGACAGTCAGTACATAGAGTACAGTCAAACACTGTTATTACAGATACTGAGGGGGCCATTGAAATTGTCCATATTAACCCTTTAAGTCCAAAATTATAGTGACCAACATTAATTTTCTCCTAACAATATCCATACATTGTCAAGAGATTAGGTTATAAGAATTAATAAAATGATCACCTAAGAGAAAATGCTTTGATCTTTTATCAGATTCTCTCAACTCATTCTTTAAGGAAATATACAGAGATCAGTTTGGAGAATTTGTATGTGGATATTGGGACTTAAAAGGGTTAAGCAGGTTGAATTTAGAGAAAAAGTAAGAGCTTGCTTTCCCCAGGGAAAAAGCAAACTGTCAGTAATAATGATGTGTCCGTATTAAGTAGGCACGTCTGTAAGCAGGGTTTGGCTGTAAGAATATTTCAAAATACAAGAAAGACTTAAACAATAATATTAGCCAAAAAAAATGGTCAAAGTAAATATATACTTACTGTACAAAAGTCTGATGATTGATGATATATATATAGTTGTGTACAAATTTCTATTTGTTTTGATCTTTAGGATGGTGAACAATATGTCCTAAAAGTCTGGACATTTGAGCAAATTGGAAATGTGCTCAAAGTTGCTGGAGAGAGAAAATGCCGTGAAGCTCAAGCTTGCTTAGAAGGTAATATTTTTATTTTACAAGATCATGGACAGGCCAGTTAAGGTAAAATACGGTACACTGTCTCAAGTGCTTTTGCAACTCAGGTTGTAACTGAGGGTGACATTGGTTCACCTTGTGCTTATAAATTTATTTCTTAGTTATTTGCCTTTTACAGAAAACCAAGACCCAATGGTTAATGTGATGGGTGCAGCATATGCGTCTGTCAATAGCAGTGACAGGCCCCTGTTAAAGGCGCATGCTGATCTTAGTAAAGCGCGAGAAGACTCGTCAGAGAATGTTGATGAACAGGAGGCAAGGTTTACACTCTCTCTTCTCATTAGCGAAATGGATAAACAGCTGCTAATGACATCACACAATACTATTGCCAAGTAAGTTCTCAAGTGTACTGCCTCATTAACAGAGCAAATGACTGATTTATGTCCTTATAAATGACAAACATCCAAATCGTTGGGTAATGTAATGCTAATGCTCTGTCATACTATAACAGAGCAATTTAACCCTTAAAGCCCTAAGAGTGATCAGTATCAAATTTCTCCTTGTAATATCATTGCTTTGTAAAACAGAGTGGTCGTGAGAATTACGGACATGACCACACAAGATGAATATGCTTGATATTTTATCAACTTCTCCCCACTACTATTGTAGGAAACAAATAGGGGCAACAAATGAGAATTCAAATTTTGATCTTAGAGTTTAAAGGGTTAATACTGGAAATGAAAGGAGGATTTAGCAAAATATAAGGATGTAGAGATCTGTTTAGATATCTCTAAGCTGCTTGCACCTTAATTCCTGTGATCTGAAAAGAAGTGTTTTGTAAGTTTGTACGCATTTCAGTATGACTAATTTCTGAAAAAATTATTTTTTGCAGGGAAGTCAGGTTGAACCCTAGTACTGTGCAGGTAATAAATTCAATTTGCCTGTAACCTCTACCCTGCGAGCAAGTTCTCCAAGGTGCTCTAGGGCGGGAAAAGGAAGGAGAGCCTGTAACGACTTATCTGGAATTTGAATATCTGTATCAAAAAAGTTGATGCAAAATGCTGAATGACATCATTACCCTTTGCATGTGTTTTTCAATGTTTGTTTATATTCGTGCTCATTTCTGCTCTGCCCTGATTGGTGGAAATCTGACAGCTCAGTTGACAGGGAGCCACAGGGGGATTGGAGGTGGAATTCAAATTCCAGAGAAGAGACAAAGTTGCAAGCTCTCCTTCCTTTTCCCGCCCTGTGGCCAGAGCACCCCCGAGACCTTACTTGCAGGCTATTTAACCTCATGTATCAAGAACAGATATTAACACATCATTTCTCCATGTTACGTTATTTTATGAGATAGATGTCCATAAAGGATGTAGGATCTCACTTCCCCCCACTAATTCAGAGGGATCACTAGGTTGAAATCAGTCAGCAAGACACCATTTGTTCAGTTGAGGGCAAGGCCAGCTGAGACCTTGTTATTTTAAAAAATCATCCTGAATACTGAACTAGGAAGTGAAATGCCATAATGAGAGCATTACGGACACTGAATCATGTCTGTCTCATTACCTACAGGCTGAGTATGAACTCCTGAAAACATTTGCTGGTGAAGAAGGAAAATGTCTGGAATACATTGAGTGGACACTTGGTTAGTACATGGCTCTCATCAAGTATGAATTTGTTGAAGCTTCACAAGCCACGTTGATAGTTTTTTATGGTTTAATTTGTGATATCATGCTACACCATGTTGTTGTCACCTGTTTGGAAGACAAAAAGGAAAAGAAATTAAAAGAAATTAATTGACTTTTGGTCGTTAATTCTTTTACGATTTGAAACTAACAAGGAGATTGAGATAATTTTGCAAGACAGTGATGTAAACGCACCCATAAAAAGAAAAAATGGTTAAGTGATATGGCAAGTGTTTGTGTAGATTAAAAATTTATTAATCAAATAGACAAGATAACATTGGAAAGTTATGTACATTGTGAAAAGCTGATAAACAAGGCCATTCCTAGATCACCAGTTCAGTAATGGATGCCACGCCCCGCCCTGGCAGCAGGTCCATGGTGATATCAGTTACTTGGATGTGAAGCCATTCGACGGTGACAAGTTGACTATCACTGCAAACACAGCAGGATACTATCTGAACAAGGGATTGACCCAAGAGGGGCAGGTTAACCATGAGAGAGAGGGAGACATCTACCCTACTCTTGTTGCACTTCTTAAGGCCAAGAGTCCACAGTTTGCCGCTGCTATTGAAAAGAAGGTAAATCAAGTTAAAAATTTGTATTTTGTGTGTTTCTCTATTTTGTGAAATGAAACTTAGCTGATGGTGTTACCTACCTCCTGGTAGGAGTTTGCATATTATGGTTCAACAGAAGTTAAACAGGACAAAACTGAGAAGATTGACGAGACTTTGAAGGAAGAGGAGGATAATGGATCAGCAGGAGAAGAAGCAGCTGATGGAATAGAGGCTAAAAATCATCAAAAGTGAGCTTAAAATTTACCTTCATTATTCCAATTTGCCATACAAGAGCCTTTCATAGCACTGTGCAGGACACAGGTCACATATGAACCTTGTATTATACATGTGTATACCTTGTTCCAAAATGGTGGTAAAATTAACTTTTTTTGTGTTAATGTTGATTAGCACTCTTTGCCTCAATTGTAAGATGTGCAGAATTCAAACAAATTTGAACCTTAAAATGAAGCATTAAGGACAAGCTATTGAGAAGGCAAAAGAATATGACTTAATTTCTACCATTTTGGAATTAGGTGTATGGTCTAGCATGCCAAATACTCCCAATTAGTCATGAGTAACTAGATTACTTAAGCCGTATCTAGCATGTCATGGGCGCAACTCCCTTTAAACCTTATCATGACAAGGTGATGCACATTACAGTACATATATTTTTCTCTAAAGTGAGCAGCTTTACTTCACGAAATTGCTAACAGTAGACGGGGTTAATACAGGCTCAACCTTTGCTTCTAGGATTGTCTCCTATTCCAGGGGATGAGTAGCAGAGAATACTGGGAACAAGGTTGATACAGACCGGCTATGAAAATGCTCACTAGCCTAACTTTTGAAATCTGCTTATGATTATTATTTTTTGTCTTTTCTTCAGCGCGGCTCCTAAGACTAAAACAACCAAAACGACACAAAAGAAGAAAGGAACCAAGGGAACAAAGACATATGAATCATCACCTCGCTGGAAAAATATCAAAATTGAATTTGGTGCAGATCTAATTGGTGACCAAGAGTAAGTAGTTTAAATCAGGGATTTTTTAGCCAGTCAGAAGGAAAATACCAGCAGGGAGGTAGGGAAGCTTAAAACGTATCAATACACAGACTTAGAAAGGTCCCTTTCTTCAGTGACCATTGTGACAGTGACTTCAGATCAAGATTGCCCTCTAAAAATGTCCAGCTTGTTTAGTTATGTAATGTTGTGCTTTGTTGGTGTTAAAGATGGAAAGCAGATTTTTTTCAGACCAAGAAAACACATTTGAAATAATGCAGTTTTGTGCATTACTTACAGTGACTCTAGCGAATAAATAGTTTAAAGTTTTTATTCTGTACCTGCACCTATCACTCATTTGTAAAGTCACTGCACAGAAAACTTACAGTGGTTCTAGGGAAGTCACGAGCTTTTATTTTCATTTCACAGTATTATAAGTATTGGTTGGTAACTGTAATTCTCTATATGTGCAGGAAAAAAGACAAAGACAAGCAGAAGGGCAAAAGCACCCCTGACAAGAAGCCACCATCTAGACACGCAAAGAGCAGGTAAGAACCTTTGTTCAGACATTCTTAAATATCTATTTACTCTTTTACTCCACAGAGTCAATTGTCATTGATTTTTATCCTTGGCTTAATTAATTTATTTTTTGTCTCAAACTCATTATCAATAACTAGTATACCAAAAACAAAGAAAAGTAAGTTAAGACAGAAATAGATTTGAACCACAATGGAGACAAGAAAGGTAGTTCTTACCTTTGATAACATCCAATTACATGTCCATTTAAATGAAACGTCTTTGGCAATGGCATCTTTGAGATAGGTTTTGCGATGTTTGTTGCGTTTTGTATTTTTGACATATTTTGTAACAATGTAGTGATGGTTGTAAACACTTTTGCTTGGATAACTTTTCAACATGTGGCATGCATCAAATGGAATGGTGGATTTTAACAAGGGTGAAAAACAAGGAGGAGGTGGATAGCGAGGGAAATATTGCTCTCCCTTTTTTGTGTGTGTGTTTTTCTTCCCCTCCCCTCCCCTTTTTGCACCTGCCACACGGGCTGATTTGAATAAGGTTTAGTTTGCAGCTGTTAGAGTCATTAATTCTTTAAGCCCCAAGATCCACATACAAATTCTCCAGACTGATCTCTATACATTTCTTTTAAGAATAGTTGAGAGAATTTGGTTTAAGATCAAACATTCTCCCTTTGGTTATCACTTTAGTAATTCTCACAACCTTTACTCTTGATGATCTGCTGATGTTGTTAGGAGAAAATTGATGTTGGTCACTCTTGGGACCTAAAGGGTTAATTTTGTTACTGATTTGTTTCTTCAGAGAGGCAGGAAAGGCTGGTAGAGTGTCAGTACGTTCTCAGGCAAAAGGTGATATGGAGGAAGACTTTTCTGAAAGTTCTTCAGAAAGTGAGGAGGAGGAAGAGAACCAAGACAGACGACAAGAGTCTAATGCTGATCTGCCATCTGAATACTGGCAAATTCAAAAGCTTGTCAAGTACTTAAAGGTAAATAGCTGTTCAAAGAAATTAATGTCCAGTAGCCACCTCCAGTTAGATGAGTTATTAAATTTTTTAAACAAGTGAAAGTGTATGTTAGTTATGGCCCATATCCAGGGAATTGTGATCAAAATCTATCAACTTGAAAAGTCTTGCACACTCACACAGGGTTGCCAAAGTATGTGCAATGGGTTAATTGTGCACAGGACACTTGATTCCATCCACTATCTACTGTCAATTACTTGTAGCCTGCAGTCAACCGCATCATGCAAGTGAAGACAGTGTCTAGCCATAACGACCTACTTCACTGGATCAGGCATAACATTGTTGATCATAGCGTTTTGGGGAAGTGGAAAGTCTGAAAACCTACTATAATCTAAACAAAGTAATCTGAAACTGATCACTTAACCCTTTAAGCCTTAAGAGTGATCGGAATCAAATTTCTCCTTGTGATATCAATGCTTTGTGAAACAAAGTGGTCATGAGAATTACGTACATGATCACACAAGATGAATTTGCTTCACATCTTATCAACTTCTCCCCACTACTTCTGTAGGAAATGAATAGGGACCACAAATGAGAATTCAAATTTTGATGCTTTTCTATATTTAGAGTGGCAATCAAACCGCTACTATAATAGCTTTGTGCGCCATGAGGGATTTCAATCTTCAACAAGAGACATGCCAGCTGGCTATCAGAGATGTTGGAGGACTTGAAGTGTTGATAAACTTGCTGGAAACAGAGGAAATAAAGTGCAAGGTGATTTTTACAAAATACTTTTTTCCACTGCTTGATGTATCCGCTTGAAATGATTAGTTGTAGCAGTTTCTTTTTTTCTTGCATTTTTACTCTTTCATCTCTTATCCAAAACTGCTCGATCAACAATTTGCAATTTTCACTTGTAGTTGGAGCAGATGAAAAAGAACACTGATCGTTACTTTCCTCTTCACCTTTCAGATTGGAGCTTTAAAGATTTTGAAGGAGATTTCTAGAAACTGCATCATAAGAAAGGCAATTGCTGACTTAGGAGGTGAGGAGGGCCCGAGGGCATCTTGATCATTTCAGGGGGAGATAGTCTCCCATGTAGCCGTTATTTGCCTTGTCATGCAACGCTTCTATGTCAGGGAGGCGTGTATGTCAGGGAGGCGTGTTCTGTGACAGCCCCAGTAAGGCTGTGTAAGAAACTACAGACGAGATTGCTGTAGCCTGCGAGCAAGCTCTCCGAGGCGCTCTGGTGGCAGGGCAGGAAAAGGAAGGAGAGCTTGCAACTACGTTTCTGGAAGTTGAATGGTTCCTTTAATTCCCCTGTGGCTCCTTGTTGACTAAGCGGTCAGATTTCTGCCAATCAGCATTTCGCATCGACTTTTTCGATGCAGATATTCAAATAGCCTGAAATTCATCCGATTGCTTCGAGTCGTTTTCTCCTCTCAACAACACGTTACTGAGGGAGTAATAACGACTCGAAGTAATGGGATGAAATTCAGGCTAATATTCAAATTCCAGAGACGTATTTGCAAGCTCTCAGCTCCTTCCTTTTGCCTCCCCGCCATCAGGTGTTGTACATGTACAGTGTAGCACTGTTTACCAGGTGTTTGTTTCAATTTTTATTCTTCCCATAATACCTTGCGCCAGGATAGTCCAGTCATTTACGGGCCCTCGCGCGATCTGCCGAAGCACTTCCGGCGAAAGCTGACATCGTAATGTAACTTCATCTTCTTCAGGTTTACAAACCATGGTCAAGCTTCTCCAGGGATACAATGACGAGCTGAAGTGTCTTGCTGCAGAGACTATTGCGAATGTTGCTAAATTGAGGAGAGCAAGGCGAACTGTCCGGCAGTTTGGAGGCATACGAAAACTGGTGAGTGAGAAAGGAGAATTTGTGAACTAGAATGAAACGAGCACTTCAAATTTCCTATGGCTCGTAGCTCTTTAAGGTGCTTTTATAGTGGGCTGCCTGTGAAATTGCGACATGATAGTTTGGGTCCTGGTATTGCCTTTGGTAATATCCAGTTGCGGATCTAGGGGAGGGGCCCAGGAGGGCCGCCTCCCCCCTCCCCCCTCATTTTTGGACGAACGCCGAGGCCTCCTTGTTGAGTTTGTGTGGGGTTACTTTATATTGGAGCTAATAGGTGTAGATGCCTTTATCGCTATATCAGATAATTGCATCCAGCACTTAGTCAGATTAAAGCGCGAGAAAACACAGCAAGCATACGGTTTGACACCTTTTGGTCGAGAGAGTTTTTTCAACCAGTAAAAATGTTTTGCTTTTTTTTTTGTTAGGTGGCTCTCCTGGATTGCGGATCCCTTGCAAGTGCATCTGCCATGCAAGCAGACGTAGCACGCTGTGGAGCACTGGCTTTATGGAGCTGCAGTAAAAGTACAAAAAACAAACAAGCCATCAGGAAAGCAGATGGTATTCCTCTGTTGGCCAAACTGCTCAAGTCTAACAATGAAGCAATGCTTATTCCAGTGGTAGGAACGCTGCAAGAATGCGCTTCTGAGGTTCGTATAACCCCCGCTTTCACACTGTTTCGTATTGAAATAGTGGTACGCTAAAAAAGAACACCTGATAGCAGGTTAAATCTCCATGTACAACCACCTTTGGGGTGGATTTCCGCTGTCACGTAAATTTTATGTGCGTACGCACGTAAAACTTTTACGTGCGTAAACAAAATAGCTGCAATTTGTATACAAGACCGCTCGTAAACGAACCTCGCTTAACTTTTAGGTTTACGCGTAACACTGCCTCTGTTTTACCGACGCGCGTACGCATGTAAAAATTACGCGACATTGGAGATCCACTTTTAGCAAGCGATCATATCCACAATACCAAGCACTATGGTCGGTATTGTGGGAAAAAAACTATCAAATCATAGCATTATAGGTTGTCGCTTTCGGTAGGTTTAATTGTATATTCCTTGTTGAAAAAATCTTAGTCAAATGTATGGAATTGTAAAAGCCAGGTAAATATATGCTAACTTTCGAATTGTTGATCAGCGTTGTAAATACGTAATGTGCAAACTATATGGAACTTTGAAAAAGTCTCTGGGGGAGTGCTTTTGGTAGTCGTGCTTTTAAAAAGTTTAATGTATTCATTTCTTTTTCAGGCAAGTTACAGACTTGCTATTCGCACCGAAGGCATGATCGAGGACCTCGTAAGGAACCTTAACAGTGAAAATCAAGAACTTCAAATGCACTGTGCTAGTGCCATATTCAAGGTAAAAATACTACTGAATGAAGAATGAGAATGCATTGGAGGGCTTTTTCCACCATACTACTGATTTTGTCGACTGGCTCACATTTCCGTTATCTTCTCAACCTTTGGTCAAAATGTGCAGTTTTCTCGAAGTTTTTAACGTATTATTTGTTGCACTTGTTTTCAGTGTGCTGAGGACAATGAAACCCGCGATCTTGTTCGGAAATATGGTGGCCTGGATCCTTTGGTATCTCTTTCATTCAATGTTGAAAATAAGGAGTTACTCGCCGCAGCCACAGGCGCTATTTGGAAGTGTTCCATCAGCCGCGAAAATGTAACTAGGTAATATAATGCAACCATGTCTCTTTTAATCTGAAAGTGGAAACCGTCTTGGACAGCGTGACTGAACACCACCACAGGAAAGTACTGCACAGCAGCTTTCATTTGAATGGTCACATCCAAGGATTTCATCCACAAACTCAAAAGTTAGAACCACCTTGTACAAGATAATAAACAGTACCACAGGAAAGTACAGCTCAGTAGCTTTCATTTGAATGGTAACACCATAGGATTTCATCCACAGACTCAAACGTTTGATCTTAATACTCATACGTATTCATTGATGTTTGCAGATTTCAAGAATTGAAGGCTATCGAGCAACTGGTATCTTTATTGAATGAGCAACCGGAAGAGGTTAATATAACATCATTCTACTAACTGAGTACTGGTTCTCTTTCTTAGTGCGATAAGGATGACTGCGGTGGCAAAAGCGATAAATGACAATTATTATAACGACAGTGAAATGATATGTTTCGTGAGATGTTTAGTGATGATGACGGTGGTAATGATAAAAAAGAAAACGATGATATTGATGATGGTGACACAACTGTGGTGAAGATGATGATGATGATGACGACGTTGGTTTGCGTAATGATGATGAGGATGACAACGATGATGTTGATGATGATGTTATGGTGGTGGTGGTGGTAGTGGTGGTGATGATGATATGATGGTGGTGGTGGTGGTGGTTGTGGTGGTGGTGGTGATGATGGTGGTGGTGGTGGTGGTGATAGGAGATGGTGTGTTGAAATATTCATGGTGATGACGTTGATGATGATGTTAAAGATGAAGTTGGTGAATAATGAATGTGACGCTCTGGCCTTTTACCTACACTTAAAAGTACATTCACTTTCTTAGTGCGTTGTGGATACTTCTTCCCTCTCGTTGAAGGCATAAATTTTATCTTCCATGCACAGGTCTTAATTAACGTGGTGGGAGCTTTGGGGGAGTGCGCCCAAATCCCGGCCAACAGAACTACCATCCGCAAGGCTGGCGGCATACCTTCACTAGTAAACCTGCTGACCAGTACGAACCAAGCTCTCTTAGTAAACGTCACCAATGCAGTGGGGGCCTGTGCGACTGAGCCTGACAACATGACGTGAGTTCTTGCTTTCCTTTTCTCTTTGTCTTTGTTGCTGTTTTTTTTAAAATTAAATTCCTTGTTTTTTTTCCTTTACAGTATCATTGATCGTCTTGATGGAGTACGTCTGTTATGGTCTCTTCTGAAGTCGAATAACCCCAACGTGAGTTTAATTTTTTGTCTCAACACTTTCATCGACTGTCAAATTTTACAGACAAAGTTGATGTTCAGGAGCCAGTTGCATAGATTTTAACGCCAGAGGTATCTGCCAATACCCGACTTTCAGCTCAGTCGACTCTTTATTTAACGCCAGCTAGGTTTTATGCAGGTAGTCCCACAAGCGTTCATCTGACGGGTAGATTTTCATTCTCAGGCCTTTTTTCACTCAGGCTCAGGTTCAAATTGTAATTAGTTCTTATATACACAAGCTTTGTTTTTGCAGGTACAGTCCAGTGCAGCTTGGGCGATTTGTCCCTGCATTGAAAATGCAAAGGTAAGTCGGGATTGTGTTGGTTTTCAAGTTAGCGGAAACAAGCCGGTCTCCTTAACAGTCCTTCAAAGACGGATCTGGAAAATTTAGAAAGAGGGGATGGGAGACAAGCAAAGAACTCTGAGAGCAACTGAGTCGGTAAAAGACTGAGTTTAATGAGAATTCTTTCCCTTATCACACCCCTCTCTCCCAGCGTCTTTTTGAAGGTGTCGACGACTTTCTTCCTCCCCTCCCCTCCCACCCCATTTCCCTTCCATTCTCTGCATCCCGAGTAACCATCAGAAAATGTAGATGTGAATTTTAAACTGACAAAACAAATACGTACAAATGTTTGTGCTGCGGTTGAGTTTCCAGTGCTTATTAACTTTTTCTTGATATTTTTAGGACGCTGGAGAGATGGTGCGATCGTTTGTTGGTGGTCTGGAACTGATTGTTAGCCTGCTAAAGTCTAGCGACAGAGAGGTATTTACATTTAACTGTTGACTGTTTGAATTTGGTCATTGTATTTCTGTGAATGGTTTGTTGATACAAAGAAATGGATCAGTTGCTCTAAGCACCAGAAATTTGCTAATAGTGAGCTTAAGCAAAGAGCGATTGAGCGATGCACGCCAACCGGTAGTGGACCACTTACATTCTTGGGCAATTCTTTTGCCCAAATTTTTGGACAGATTTTCTCTACTATTGGTCAAAGATGTGCTGGTCTTTCCTTGATAGGGGACACATACGGGGACATTAGGAATATGATTAAGAATAATGTTGTTATCTAGCTGGCATGCTAATCTCAGTTTTCTTTGCTGTAAAATCCAAAACCGCTCACAGACACGACGGTAACGTTTGTAGCGCTTTCTACTTCTTTTAAATCGCCACTAATGTCTAGTACCTCACCATGGATACGACCGGTTCGAACGTTGTTGCCATTTCCCGTAAAAAATTGCTTTATATCCATATTTTACGTCGATAACTCGTGACAGTAATAACTGATAAACCTGAGGTTGACGGTGCGCTTATTTCACCCCCCTCTCTCCATCGATGCTCCGTGTTAACAACAAAAAGGTCTCACCGGGGATCGAACTCGGGATCTCGCGCACCGAAGACCGCGCACTAACCAACTTGAAATACAGGTGTGTATAAATGAAAGTAAACGCCGGGAACCCGACAAATCAATCAGATCTCGAAGCCACCAAGCGCGGAAAAAGAGTAAGAGTGAGTCACTGTTACTCCGTTACTGCTGATTGGTTGAGAGGGTGACGCGAGTGTCATGAGCCAATCACAGAGCATAGCGATGCAAAACTAAAATACTAATCTGCTCTACACTGTCAACCACTGCTCGAAGGTATAAGGTGTTAAGGTTCGTTGTATAAGGAAATAGTTTATACCTCTTTAACAGGTTAGGAGTGCTTTTTATTGTTTACTTTTAATAACATACGTCTTAAACTTTCGTATTTCAGACTGATGACCGCTTACGGCAATATCTAGCCGAGTCAATTGCCAGGTTAGTGACTGGATCAGTTTCCTTGTTGTCATGTCTAACAAACCTTCGTATTTATCAGCCTGTTTTCTGTGTCTGCACAGGTGCTGTACGTGGGGTAACAATCGAGTTGCGTTTGGACAGGCTGGCGCTGTACCGCCGTTGGTTAACTACCTTAAATCAAAGAACCCGGATGTACACAGAGCTACCGCGCGTGCGCTTCACCAGCTGTCACGTGATCCTGACAACTGCATTTCCATGCACAACAGTGGTGTTGTTAAGGTAAATAGAAGTCGCCTGAGGTCATGTAGAGTTTGAAATAGTGTGATAATGAAGCGGATGTTACCTGTTAGAGCTTATTCGCCTATTCCAGGCGAATAGTGGGGCCGTTCTCAGTTAGCGTTGGTAGCACTGTGAAGTTGCCATTACTTAATAGTTGTTTGTGTTTCTTTCACAGTATCTTCTTGAAATGGTTGGTTCCACTGACGAAGTCCTCCAGGAGGCTGCTGCTGGTTGCCTTGGCAACATCAGGAGGCTGGCATTAGCCAATGAGAAGGCCCGCTATCACTGATTGACATTTCCAATATTGACTAGAACATGTACTGGCATGTACTTCAATCNCAACTGCATTTCCATGCACAACAGTGGTGTTGTTAAGGTAAATAGAAGTCGCCTGAGGTCATGTAGAGTTTGAAATAGTGTGATAATGAAGCGGATGTTACCTGTTAGAGCTTATTCGCCTATTCCAGGCGAATAGTGGGGCCGTTCTCAGTTAGCGTTGGTAGCACTGTGAAGTTGCCATTACTTAATAGTTGTTTGTGTTTCTTTCACAGTATCTTCTTGAAATGGTTGGTTCCACTGACGAAGTCCTCCAGGAGGCTGCTGCTGGTTGCCTTGGCAACATCAGGAGGCTGGCATTAGCCAATGAGAAGGCCCGCTATCACTGATTGACATTTCCAATATTGACTAGAACATGTACTGGCATGTACTTCAATCGAGATCTTGGTAGAGGAACTTGCATTTTTTATATATAAAAAACCTAACAAAAGCGTATGTTTTTCTTTGTTTTATTCTGTCACAAGTCACTCGGTTTATCTGTAAATAGTTCATGGATGGTATCTGCGGCAGCGGTAGATAAAAGAAATAAAAATCTGTGAGGTCTTGTAATTTCGTCGTAATTTTGGTTTTAGTACTCGCCCAAGGTGGCTTTTTCGTATTATTTTTGTGAACATAATCCCAATAAATTATTTATTTTGAACTCTGTGTTTCCTATTTCTTGAATCCCTGGATCTGCTTTTTCCCTTCAAACCCGGCCTGTTACCTTTTTCGCCATTTAAGGAAGCAGACACTTAACGCACTTTTGAGTCTGTTTTCTAGAAAGTATGGTGTGACTATCATTTAAACGAAACTCCGTCAGTAGTACTTTCCTGTTGTATTCTTCTTTACGCAGTACAAGGCGACTGAACAGTATTTTCCTTTGGTTCTGTTTTCTATGCTGTACAAGGTGGTTTAAACTTTTGAGTACTAAGTAAAAAAGCAGTAAATTGATCATCACGGTAAGGACAGGGAGAACACATCAACAACGGATGGTCTGTCGCTGTGACTTTGACTCAAAGGCGGAAGAGGAAGTACTTGAGATAATAGGGAACGTCAACCGGAAGTGGCCATTTTGCATTACATGGCAGCAACGTTTCCGAATTTTTCTGGAAATTCGTCTCAATAAGAGTAAAGATACTTAGCAAGACGCATTTGGCAGCATCAAGGTACATTAAAAGGGAAACGATTCTCTTCAGCTTGACGTGCATCGTCCAGAAACGCTGTTGCTTGAGCTCCCTAGTAATTTTGTATCACTAGCCTACCGGGGTGGTGACGTTAAGCCTTTGTCTCAGTCAGTCCTTAGTTGATCAGTGGAAATTTACTGCAATCCTCTTATCAGCTACTTTACATTACATTTGGTTACATTAGGATCAGCACCAAAAAATTTGAATGCATTAACCTTTTAAAAAACCCAACAAGATAGTCTAGCTCATAATCGGTCGTCTCCCTCCATGATCCTCCGTCACGATCAGAGGACCCTGGGGACCCTGGGAACAAGAGTGCTCGTACCAGTTCTCGCCGTTTTCATTCCCATCTTTCTTAGCGAGCAGATTTGAAAAATGGCGGCTACGAAGCAAGACAGCAAGGCGATAACACTGAGAGGATCCGCAGAATTAGTCACTGAATTCTTTGGTAATTGCACATTTCTTTTTGCTCTTTTTAACGTTAAGCTTCTCTTCTAAACCGACTTTATCTTTTTTCACAGGATATGGGATAAACAAGTAAGTACATACCCCCAGTCAGTCATCGCTTACCTTTGATAAAATTAAAAACGCTAGCTAGTACTGCATAACATAAGCTGGCAAGTTTAAGCTTAAGATTTTTATAGTTTCCAAAGTTGTGCTTCATTTTTGCCGGAACAGGAAATTTGGGTTGTAATCATATACTTTTTCTGCGTATTTAGCATCAGTTAAGTCAGAAAATTATTTGCTGGCATGACTGCATTATTGGCATTTTGGAAAATAATTATTAGAAGTTCATGCAGGCAACAGTTTTCCTTGAATGTTTTTTTTTCTCAGCATATTGTATCAAAGAGGGATATATCCTGCTGGATCATTCAGAAGAGAGCAATTTTATGACCTTACACTATTTGTTTGTGATAATAAAGAGTTACAAGAATATCTTTCCAAAGTGTTACAACAACTTAAAGGTAAAATATATAAATTAAACATTGGATCAAGCTGTCTCAATTATAGGTCTCTTTATGCCGTGTTAGATGTTAGTGAAAGTACAGTATAGACTTTCTTTCACGTCTAGTAATACAGTATACCCTATGATATCTCCTCTTGCAGTACGGTAAGATAGAAATAAGTGGAACTGACATGTTCTTGTGATATAAGGGAGCTCTTATTCAATGGGGTTAGGGGTGTGGCAATATTTTCTGATTTGGCATTAGCGTCTTTTTGGGGAAAAGCACTTATAAGAGTGTATGTGCTCTTATTCAAAGAATTTTGTTTACACAAGCCTTATTCTACAACAACTGAATGATGTTTATGCTCATAAGTCAGTGGGCAAGAGCTGTGGTCTCTTAAACTATGGGAATTAATGAAGTGATGTCGTCTGAGAAAACAGGTGTCATTTCATGACACCACCACTGATTTCCCCGCGAAATGATATCTGAGAAACAAGCACAGATCATATCTGATGACCTGTCGCTACCCAGATCTGGGTAGTGCTTCTGATTGGTCATAACGCTTGTAAAATTTGCTTCAACCAATCAGAAGCACTGCCCACAACTGGGTAGCGACGTATCATTTAAATCTTTAGAGCCAAGTCAAATTTAGAAGGATTTGTATGGAGTCATCAGAGCATAACTGGGCTAATATCTAAGGAACAATTTGCCTCACAATGCCGGGTTTTGGCAAGTAGGCCCTCTTGGATGTTTTTCTTTCAGAATATCCTGGCCAATCCCATAATTACACAAATTTAATTTTTTATGATGTCACACTTTAGTACTCTATACTGTCTCTTCAGAATCACAAAATTAAGTACCAATAAGGCAGTCGATGGAAAATTGTTGTGTAAAAAACTAATTTCGTTGAATAAACTTTTTGTTGAGGGATCATTATATTTTAGGGGTCAGTGTTTTCTCAAAACCCATAAAGTAAAAAGCTTGAAGAAATTTCTTCTGCCAAACTTGTTTGCTCCATTCAGAGTGGCTTGAGGAGAATGCTCTTCAGCGTGTTGTCATGGTGATCACTCAAGTGGATACAGAAGAAGTTATAGAGAGGTGGCAGTTTGATATACACTGCGAGAACAGTGGACAAGCCACAGAAGGAGATGACAAGAAACCTGCTAAGTATGTATCTGGTATTATTAATTTTACCATGATGTCTTTTTTTGAAAATATGCTTAGAAGTAAAAAGTGGAGATTGTTGTTATTTTGATGCCCTTCAATAATCACAAGGTATTTTTTGTTCTTCCAACACCCCTATCACTAAATCATGCTAGTAAACTGAAGGAAAGTTTCATTTGATGCTTATAAGTAATAACAGCCTTATTTTGCTGGAATATCGTCTCTCCATGTTGGCTTGTTTCCATTCTCTGTGTAGCATACAAAAACAGTGGCTTTTACAAATACTAGTAATTATTGTTTATTGTCATTTTCAGTGCCTCATTCCTTTCTGTCCAAAGTAAAATACAAGATTGACAAGACTTCTTTACTATAATAGCATTTTGCGATAAGAAGACTGTGAGAATGAAGATATTACTCATTACAATGTTTATTGTAGAAAACCTCCTCCAGCAAAAACTAAAAAAGACATTCAGAGGGAGATGAGGGATGTAATTCGTCAGATAACTGCCAGTGTGACGTTTCTTCCCCTTCTTGATGGCCAGTGTAAGTATTATAATTTATATTTTCAAATATCAAGATATATATTCTCCTTTCTCACACTCACGCCTTTCCTCCAAGAAGTACAGTTGAATGTCCTCTGACTTTCCCTTAAAGCGTTAGCTGAGAGAATTTAATAAGAAATCAAAGCACCTTTCCTTAAGTGATTGTTTTAATAGTTCTCATAACGTTTTGTTCTGATGATGTGTTGATATAATTGTTAGTTTGAAAATTGATGTTGGTCATTCTTAGGGCATAAAAGGTTAAGAGACTTGTCCACTCTCACATAATACCTTTTCCATAACTTCTCTTGGATGGTGGGGTGGGCGTGGCAGTGCATAGTGCAGCTGGTTACTGTTGCTGTGATTTGTTTCGTCATGGACAAGGGTAGGGGTCTTATCTATTCACCATGATTTATGGCTGCTTTATAATTATTTCCAGGTGCATTTGACCTGCTAGCATACACCAACAGAGACCAAGATGTACCAGAAACCTGGGAAGAATCTCAAGCTAGAATCATTGCAAATTCAGAAGAAGTCCGACTGAGATCATTTTCAACAACTGTTCACAAAGTTGACACAATGGTGTCGTACAAAGCTGAAGACTGAGAGACAGGGAGGAGCATCGCATTGGTCTTGTTAAAGTGCTTCTTTTGACCTTCATGTAATGGTAGGAAGAAGCAAGGGAACACAACAAGCTCACATCACAGCTAAAATAGGATTTGAATTGATGTTCCTTTAAGTCTTTTTCTGGTGAAATAGTCCATTTATTTTATAAGATAAACCAAAGATCTGGACACTTTTGTATAGAAACACCTTAAGATATTGAAGTTAAAACTGAAAGAAGACAAAATGGAAAAACCAGAAACATATCTGACATTAAGCAGTGAATATACAAGACAGCATTTCATGGAACTTGACAGGCATGGTAACCTAAGTATCCTTCTTTCGTTTTATGACTCATCACAAAACTGGAGTGTAGGCTGGTATGCATACAAACAGATATATTATTCTGAGATCTACAGCAAAGTTATTGAAGCTGTTTAATAATAGGCAAGGCAAGATGGGCCCTTTTTTGGCCGTATAATAAATCCCTTATTGACCAAGTTTGTTTGGTCAAAATGGCTGTACATTGGCCTCGTTCCTTCAATAAAAACAGGAAAAAGAACTTGGTCAATATCCAGCCATCTTGACCTTGTCTAACTTGATAATAGACATACATATTATGGTCAATTCGACAGTTGTCATAATAGAGTATCTACTGGCCATAGTCACATAACTGTATCATGGGCTCAGGTGCTAACTCACCCAGGTCACCTGTTTTTTGAAGTTTTTTGCTGACCAGTTGTGAGCTTTTAATTGATCGCAGGCTCAAGTTTATGTTTTTCAGTCATATGGTTCTCCCATAAAAGTTAAGTATAGATTTGGGGATTTCTCTGCAACGGTTTTAATTCCATGCCTCAAATAAATTTTGAATGCATAAATGGGAGCTTGGTATTTAGTTAGCTGTGGCTAAATCTATATATTTCTTTTTGAAGCAGGTGAGCATTTAAATGTTCACCCATGGCATATTAATGCCCTGCAGCATGTGCAATCTCTTCTTTGTTTAACTGGTATCATCACCCATGACCTATACTGAGTTCACGTGGCATTGGTGAAACCTGGATTGGACCACCGGATCAGTCCAGATTGGATCATTCCTTTTAGTGTGTTCAGGCTGGGGTTGATTTGATCTGGTACAATCCAGGTCAGTTCTTGACACCTGAGTTTACCCATGATAGGCATTAAATAGGTTAATTTGCATCTCTTAAGTTTAACTCATAAAGTAATGGTGTTTTAGGCCTTAAACCACTTGTTTCCTCCTTGTTGTCCGGCATTGATCAGCATTATGTAAAGACAGTAGTGATAGTTAGTGACAAAAAGAAACAGACAGAGACTGTATATTTTTGCAAAGCTATATAGTCTAGTTTATTTAGTACATCATAAACATTACAGTTGATGTTGGGATAAAAAAAATGTTATCGTACTTCTGCTCATGGTTTCATTGAATTGATTGTGAATACATGTTAATTTGTCCCGGGGGAAGGGGTGCATGGTCTCATTGAAGTGATTTTGAATACATGTTTACATGCCCAGAGGGGTTGAATTTGGCTGGGTATAACCTGAACTCTTTCCGATCAGGAGCTTTGATGACAACAGCAACATCGAACGTTGTGATGAGTTCACCAAGAGCTTTAAATTTTGAGCTTCCCGCCAAGAACCTGAAAACCAATGTTGCGCAATGTGAGAGGCTACCAATGCAAAACGCGCCTGGAAGTTTTCGTTCTTCAAACCTTGTGTTGATCATGTTGATGGCTTGTGTTTCAAAAAAGGTTTTCATTGTTTTAGAAATTATTTCTGAACATACAAAGAGGGTTTTTAACTTTCCTGAATGAGATAGAAGCAGGAAGAATCGGTCGTACTTGTTAATCAAACCGTATTCAGCTGAACATCGTTCTTGTAAACAAGATGGAGGACCCAAGGTTCACACGTGTTGCCCAAGATCCTCGCTTCAAAGTGAGTAACCATCTACTTAATCTCCTTCATTAACGTGCAGGTTTATTCTTTATGCATGAAATACGAAGAAAGTTTGTCTGAAATCGAAGTGAATACTGAATGTCTTCCAGTTCAGTACTGTGTATGTCATGTTTCATAGTTAACCTGAGTTAACTTTTCATCTCCGATGATTTTTTGTTTTCTTTCGGGTTTGCTAATGAATGCTAATGAAGTTGAAACAAGGAAAGAATAAAAATAACCAGAGATGAAAAATTTAGTACAACATACATATTGGGTAATAATCATTTTTTCTACGTGTTTGTTGATACTTGACTGCTGGAAATTTTGGTTTAATCTTAATGTTTCTTTATTCAGAAAATCTCTCGTAAAGAGAGGAAACTTAAGATCGATGGACGGTTTGAGAAAATGTTTACAGATAAAAGCTTCACAACAAAGTGTAAGTAATAGAGAGGTCTTGTATCTACATGTTAATAAAGCTTTTGACTGCATGTGTGTCCTGTGGCATCTTTAGAAGAAGAAAAAATACAAATTATAAAGTGTAAAATATCAATATATCGTAATGTAAATATATTTTTACCCACAGATTTTGTTGACAAACGTGGCTCAAGAGTTGAGAAAACATCAAAGGAAGATCTCCACAGATTTTATGAAATGTCAGATGAATCTGACAAAGGTAGGATTTCCACTGTCAGTGAAAGTATCATCAACTTAATAATTAACCCGTAAACTTTTTAGTCTTGCCTTAAAAATGAAGCTATTTTGTTGTTTGCTTTCACAGAAGATGAGGATGAGGAATTTCAACCAAAAGAAAAAGAAAGAAAGGAATTAACAGAGAAAAAAGTGGCAAAGAGGTGCTTAATGAAGACCATCATTTTTAATTTACTATACTTAATAAAAGTGATGTCTTGTTAAGCCTTAAGTTCTTTGCAAATATCTTTTTGTTAATAGCTAAGTGGAAAGCTAAATTAGTGGGTCCATGAAGAAAATTTTTGTGGTTCAAACAATGACCAAAATGACGAAAGCATTTGTCAAAGAGTTATTCACATGTATTATGAATTGTTAATCAGTCAGGAAGCTAATATTGTTTAATATAATTATAACCATTGTTTGTTTTTTCTAGCAAATCTAAGAAAGAAAAGGCAGTTAAAAAAGATGGCTGGAAAATGAAAAAGAAACTACAAATGCAGGAAAATGATGATAACAAAGGGGTGGGTAAGAAAAGTTCCAAAAATATAAGAAGCAGGAAGGAAGATGAAGATGAGAATGGCAGCAGTTCAGAGGAGGATATAGATCTCAGCAGGGGAGAAGGAGATGTTCAATCGTCTTCTGAAGAAGAGGATGAAGGGCAACTAAAGTTGAAAATAAAAGATGTGAGTTTATATTATTACCTACTGTTGTAACATTACTATCAGGCGTGAATCTATACACGTTTTTCCCATTTTATGGAAAATGGGCAGATTTCTCAGAATCATTATTTTAATTTTTTTTTTCAAATACAAGAAAATTTCAAATTCTCTGGTACTGATACGCTCAGTCTATGGTGAATGTTCTACCAGAGTAACTCAAAGACCCTCTTCTGAGTAAAGCCAAGCCAAGAAAAGGTATTCAAGGGAGTTAAATCCGAAAACTTTCCCAAACCTCCCTTGGCACTTGTTATTTCAGAAAACAATCACTATTTTTCCTAGATCTGCCTATGATTATTTATGCTACCATGACAAATTCCCGCTAGTGGGTTGGTTTACCAGTTCCTTAATCTTATTGGATGGAAAATATCAAGCCCACTTACCTGTAAATGTTATTATTGTATAATTAATATTTATTGATATAACAGGATGAAATTGAGCACCCATGGGGTGAAATGGATGTTTCAACAAAAACAACAAAAGATTCAACAAGACGTCTTGCGGTGTGCAACCTGGATTGGGACAGAGTAACGGCAACAGACCTGTTTGGTAAGTTACATACTCAGGTTTCTCTTCCTCTCTTTCTCCTCCTTGTTTTAGTGTTATTTGATGCAAAATATGTGTAGTAGGGACTCTTAGACTGGACTACAGGTACAAGTTATTTTAATGCCTGTATTGAACAAATAACTTATTTCATTGCTGCTGTTTTAATTAATCTGGTCTTTTGATTATTTCTTAGTGTTGTTTAATTCCTTCAAGCCTAGGGATGGTGTCATAAAATCAGTCAAGGTAACTTAAATATTTTGTCAACTTCTCCCCACTACTTCTGTAGGAAATGAATAGGGGCAGCAAATGAGAATTCAAATTTTGATCTTAGGGTTTAAAGGGTTAAACTCTACTCTTTGTTCCAGATAAGAGGGAGTCTTTCTTCAGGCCTGCAGTTTACGCATGCAATTTCTTGTGCAATAATATTTTTCTGGTGCTCAAAGTCATCAAATTATTGCAGTGTAAACTAGTAGGGATTTTTTGTGCAGTTGGTCAGTGTGAACATAGTGAACGAAAGACACTTTATTTTAATAGGGCACATATTACAGTCAGGCTGTAGTCGCCCTTATGGTCCTATGAAACTCAAATACAATGATAATTACAAAAATACCAAAATATTAAAATCCTTAAATGGTAAATACTTAAGTACTAAAAGTTAATGATTAAAATATCAAGTTATTTTAAAAACTGAAAAAAGTTATGTCAATTGTAAAGCTCTCAAGTGTGAATTTACAGTAAGTTATTTTACAGTTATGCTACTGCCTCGATAGTTTGTCTGTAACAATAATATTTACTAGAGTATTTCTTTCCACTGCAGATTTATCCTTCTGATTATGGCTTGGAACAAATGCAAAAAGAGGAGTGCCTTGGACCTGTTGAACTAAAAGATGATGAAGGTGGAAGTGAAAACTTGAATGAAAATGGAAATACAGAGGTAAGATGTAAAAATTCTTGGTCTTACTTAGCATAATGAACAGAGTCAAACTAATAATAATTTAAGAGAGGGAATCCAGTTCAATAGTTATTATGACATGCAACCAATCTCTTTCTTAATCCCTCAGGGCTCAGGGTTTTCCATGGAGAAACTTCGCCAATACCAGTTAAACAGACTTAAGTATTACTATGCAGTGATGGATTGTGATTCACCAGGTATGGCTTAATAGGGGTAGGAAAGGTATACATATGAAAGACACTCACCTTCCTCTGTGAGACAGTGTAACCCTTCAGCAAACACCAGAGACCAGGCTGTTACCTGTTGTAGTTGGGGCAGGGCTTGTTTGCTTAGCCACCAACATCCTTGCACTTAGGCAGGGACCTTTTACTTCCTGAACTCTTTGTTTGCAAACCCAAGCCTTGAGATAGAGGACACAAATCTGTTCCCTTCAGTTGATGAACAAATAGCCCACTACATAACATGTGTTTAACTTACATCTGACTTTACAAACCCTTATGTAAATGTAAACTCTTACACATGCACTGAACACATATTTTTCATTACTAGATTGTATTTCACTATTACATTGTCAAAGCTGTCAGTAACAAAAGCTCGTTACAAAATTAGCGTATTATAATTCAACTATATAGCTTGAGATAATTATTTTCCATGCATAGCATTGTTGCATATTGGACAAATTTTGAGTAACCTCTTTTCCTTTCTTATGTAAGGGACTGCTGAAGTTCTGTATGACGAATGTGATGGAACAGAGTTTGAACTGAGTGGTAATATACTTGACCTTAGGTATATCCCAGATGACATGGAGTTTGACCATGAACCACACTCAGTTGCCACAGGGATACCAGCCTTGGGGATGTATAGTGCCCCAGAGTAAGTAATCAAAGCACCTGAGAGTTTGTTAAGATATTATCCTAATATCAGGTAATGAACTTCTTTATAATGGAGTCCATAGTGTCAGGGACTATGCTAATCACTTCAATTTATTAGACCCAAAAAGTTTTCTCAACTTTTGATGACGGGTCTATGGATTGAATGTTTTAATTTATTTTTATTGTTTCCAGGTTTTCTACGACTGC